GACCTAATAGATCTTCTAGCCCGACCCCCCGCCAGGGCGGGAGAACAACCCAAAAACACAAACAAAACCACTCACCCTAAAAACAAAAACGGGACTCAAATGAGTCCAGCCAGGTAAGTATCCAGCCTCTTCTTAAAGATCCCCAGGGTAGGGGCCAGCACCACCTCCCTTGGAAGTTGGTTCCAGCTCCTAGCCGCCCTGACTGTGAAGTCCCCGTAGATAAAAGGAAATGAAAGCACCAATGACATCTGTAATGGCACAGATTCATTGTCTAGGGCTGTAATGATGCCAGGAGATTTAGAGATGCAAAATAACGGTGTTGGAGAAATGAAATGCAACATCGGAAGGAAATGAGGATGGTAGCGTTGGTAGATTTGTTCTGTGTGTGTTGTGAGCACCAAAAGGAGACTAGCGCCTGCTTCTGATTCGACTGCCACCCACGCTAGACTGGCCGAGGTATTGCCTTTAATGCCCATTCCAGTGCATGGGGACGTTCACGTACTCGAGTATTTCGAAACTCAGCGCAGGAGGAGTATTTGTTCAGGACAGAACGATTATAAAATAATATTATTGGGCTGCAGAGATTATGCTGGATCTGAACGCGACGTGGGTAATCATTTTAGCACCCAGAATTCACAGAAAGGCTGGGCAAAATCAAGCCGTGCAAGAGTTCATGGGAAATCAGATGAAAAGCAATGCTGTGTCCCCAGAGGAAAGTTCGAAATATTTCGAACAGTGAAATTCAGTCATCTGTTCGGTCCCATGGTTCTTGCATGGCTTTCTGTAAAACCAGGCTTCTTTCTCATTAAGGTGGTTAGTTGGTGTCTTTGTACGGGTTTGGTAACGGACAGGGCTCCGCGAAGCAACACGTTTTCTCCGAATGCATTTTGAACCTGATAAGACAAGCGGGAAGACGGCCCAGAGACAAGCGTAGTAAAAGAAAGCAGAAGTGACGGCGAGGCTCGTAATGACCGAACTTGAGGACAAGTGTAGGATGAGAGATGAGAACAGATATTTGGGGTGGCTTCATCCTCCTCCATCTGACGAAGAAGCGGTGGAAGCCGCCTGCCCGGTGAGCTTAAACGTGGCTCAGTCGCCTGAAAACGAACGAGGTGTGTACTCTCCTCATCTCTGCCGCTCGGGATTTCAGCTGCTCACGAATAATAAAGGCTATTGAAATCCCCAAGTCAGTTTTAGAGCAAAGATCACACATCGCAGCCTTCAGAGAGGAGCGCGTGCAGAGGGGGAAAACGTGCTGGGACATTCGGATCGTGACATGCAGCACCGAGGACAGAGCCGGCGGAGGAAACGTTTCCCAATAAACGCCAGCCCGGGCCCAGGCGGCTGAACCAGACTGTGTTCTCGCACAGCGAATTTGCACCGGCAGAGGTCTGGGCTCCCAGAGCCCCCGCCCGGCCGGCGCCTTCATCCCTTACGGAGGAGCTCCCGTCGTTGCTGTCGCACGTGGAATCGAGTCAGTAGCGGCAGCCGTGGAATATTTTAGGAAAAAAGCCCGGGTCAAACAAGGCCGGGTAGGCTGATTCTGTCGGAAAGCGTGCCGCCTCTCCAGCCGCAGGATTGGGAATCGGGTGCTGCGCTGGTACCGGGCTAGCAACGACACGAACAGCGGAGTCGGTTTTTTAAGAGCTCCCAACTAGGAAATGCTGCAAGCGTCGAAGTCCTGGTGCGCGAGCGGTGCAGAAGCTCGTCTGTTTCGGGACCAGGCGGGGGATCGCATCGCCGCAGTAGAGCAGACTCTGCCCTCCGCGTTGTCCCCGACCGACCCGCAGGCCGTGTGCATTCGCTGAAAGCACGCTCTCTGCCTCCGCGCAATCTTTGGTAAAACGGGAGCACGTGCCGACCAGGAGCGAGGCTTTCCTCCGGCGCGTGGAGATGGATGAACAGAAGGCGCGAGCGGCGTGGGAATGACAGATTCCCGTTGCTCGTCAGCTGCCCCTACAGACTAATGTGGGGCAGCACCGGTTCCCGGCATGGCGCAGGCA